ACTTTTACAGCTTCGATCATTAACACGATGAAGCGATATTTTATAACATAATTACCGTTCAAAGGCAGTAAGTAAATATTCCACTGGTTTACCTGACGTAATATTAGAATATTAAACATCGATGCGAGGAGAAATTCAGTGGTAACATATGTTTTCGAAATACGTTTTTACAATTAGCAATGAAACTTCCTTTCCAACGTCCAGTGACCTTCCAGCGTATTAAAAAAATTTGTAAAACTATACGACACGCACGATGCGTGTTAAAAAATTTCGTAAAGGTGCATAACACGCGTAATGCATACAATGGAACACTTTAACGAAAGGAACCAGTGTATAATACCTCTTTAATTCTATTTGCCTAGCTGATGCAACAGAACTGCGCTCGCAGTAACGATTCTCCGATTGTTCGAAACAATGCATGCACGTTGGAACTTCCATTTCGCGAGCGTTTTCCTACGTGTAAGTGTTACGGGTCGAGCGGTACCTGAAGTCAGTACCTCGAACGTACTTTCTCTTTTAGATTAGGCGATCCTGTCTCTCCAAAGAGAGCAAAGCGAAGCGCGATCCGCCGAAGTTGATAAGCCAGAAACCGCGGCAGGGACAATTTCGCGTTTAAAAGGCGTGCCGTGACATTTCAGTGACGCGTATTTGTTGTTTCACGGCGCGTAGGCGGCGAGTAAAACGCCTTGAGCCGTATGTTTATGGAGCAGCTCGGTGGAATGTTAAACTTGACCCAGAGATCGGATCGCAACGTGCTGTGAAGCAAATAGGCACGGACAGAGACGATCGAGGACAGTTCAAGACGATTGAAAAGTCGATCTCGAAAAATCAGGAACGTTTACTCGCCGATCTGTAACGCGATCTAACGCTTGCTAACGCTTGCGCTCGCGGTCTCGGTGGACGTCGCAGGAAAACGCTTCAAGTTTATTCTGTCATCGTTTGTTGTTTCGTGCATGTTCGATCGAGAAAGCGTAAAATCGAGACAATTAACTGCGACACGGATCGTAGATCTACAGTGACACGTCAGAGTATTTATCATATATTTCAAGAACATGGCAGAGTTCTATTTATATGAACCGTGTTTAGTGATGAAACGAGATTTCAATTAATCTCTCGAGACTGAATTCACAAGTCTGAACAAAATATTATTTATGGGGAAAGTTGGTGAACCCATGTTGTACACATAAACTATATATTCCTTGATACTATCTGTCTCTTGGAGTTGTATCACATACATGTATTATGTGTTGTAAAAAATTTTTTGAAATTTTATTAACACTACAATGAGACACGATCGTATATTGATAAAATATAATTGAAAATATTTGTAGAAGTTGCGAGACGTTCACTGTAATTATACACTTGATAAGAAGATTACTATATTATGGATAGTATTGTCTTAAACGTACAGTTACTCTTCAAATGCACGTAATATTTGATAACGTGCATGCTGTTTCTATATTGTGTGTTTGAATGTATCGAGGCTACATCAAGTATTGACGTCGAACGAACTATTTTTTATTTTACAATCTTCACTGTGCTGAAAAGTATAAATATCTTGATATTGATCGTAACTACTGCCTTCTTTTATATTTTTATAAACAACTTTTTTTTTTTTTACATTTGACGATAAATCAAATGGAAAATTTGCCGGATGAAAATACAAAGCTGAAGATAGATTTAAAAAAGTGTTACGACGAAATTGGCAATTTTTTAATGTTTTATTCCATTTGGGAAAACCGTGCTTCCCCCGTGCGAAATCGTGCAACAGTTAATACTGAAAGTGATTCCATTATGTATGGACGTTTATTAATTTAATGGACTATTCAATATCTTTGCAATCTCTGAAATATACGTTCGCTATGTATGTGTTTAATTTTGTTTTTCAAATGATAGTCATGTAGTGAAAATTTTTAAATATTTTATACAACGCATAATATACTCGTAAAAAGTTCCTACGATAATTGTTCAAATATTTTCACGAGTCTCTCTAGTTACAAATTAGTATATAGAGGACTGTTCTCGATGTCTAAGTATAATTCATGTAATTTTCCAGGTGTGCAGTAAACAGGCAAGTCCTCTTCGGCAAACTGCAGGAAGTCTAGCAAATTTTCCTCAATTTCCTGTTGATACACCGAACCAGCGAATCTCGATTGGATGGTTTGACGATCATTATCTTTTATCTGAAGATTCGTTACACGATACTTGATAAGTTTCGAACGAGACTCTTTTTCTCATAAACAGATTGCGAATATTTATGCAAGTTTGTGTTTTTCTTTCATTTTAGTTTCGTGGAACTTGTCGTGTGAAAAAGATATGAGAAAACCCAGTTTTCTATGTCGGTATAACGTGTACAAAATTATACGAAAACATTAATTTGCATAAAAATCCGCGGTTTATTTATATGATAAATTCTTGATCACTCACCATGTCCCATTCGGATTTTATCAGTGCACGAATGCAATCGTCAACCAAGGATTGGCCAGGAATTGCCTATCGCGAGAAAAAGTTTATTCGGCTTTCGATCATCAAGTGGATTATTTTTAATTTTCCCACTCTCACCGTTTTCGACAAGAGCGTGGCTCGATTCTCCACTCGAAGACACTCGAATCTATCATAGAAGATCGCCATGGCCCACGGTTCCCGGAAATACGCGTAAAAATCCGCGATCAGTGATTTCTGTCACGGTGAAATTATTCAGGATTCATTGCTCGTTATTTCTACCCTTTAACAGTGTAGCTGATCTCATCCAAATTATTATTTTTTTTGGATAATAATTTGTTTTCAACAGGGACAAAAATCTTTTAAATAAAAATGTAACAATAAAGCGCAACCTAATAATTCTTCTCAGTTTCTATTTCTGTTTCTCAATGTTTTTTTACACAAATGTCAAATGTTTATTTAAAGAAACATCGAGGAAGGAAAACAAAAGCTAAAAGTTTTCATCCCCATTTGATATTAATACTTGTAAAATATTGATTGAAAGAAATTATCATTTTTCAGATTTAATAATAATCAAGATTCTATTGTATTAACATCAAGTTTAAAATATGTTTATTTTATTCAAAAAAGATTATTTTCTAAATCCTTCATTCCGAAATCTCCGTCATTTTGTCACACTGTCAAAGGGTTAATCTGAAATAAATTACAAATTAAGAAGAGTTTACTTGAAAGCGTGTTTTCATCTCGTTCAGTAAGCTTTCGTGCTTTCCATACAACGCGATCATATGATGAACTTCGATATTCTAAAATATCAAACAATTATTACTATTCAAAAGCGTAGAGTTATGTCTCTTTACCTGTTTGGTAAAACACGTCATTGTCTCTATTACGTCAAATCGATTCAGTCGTATGCGAAAGTAACCAATGTCTGACGTACACGATCCAGTTACCAGCACTTGACCCTAAACGCGACCGTTCAAATAAATTTTCGTCACGAAATTTCAAAGTGAGGCTACAGCGAAAACTCACGTAAATGTTATAATGAATCGCAAGCCGTCGCATCATGTGTTTTCCAGGCTTGAAAATGTAAAGATAACGATAACCACCGGGCAAAGTACAGGCCACGACTTTTGGTGTTCGAAACACGGGTATTGTTAGATTTTTCTTGCGTTCAGACGCTTCCTCAGGTGTCTCAACGCGTCGATGTTCATTTTCGATGATCGACTGAAGAATCCTCGCCAACTATCAAACATCAACGTCATCGATTTGAAGATTTGAGTTGCTTACACTTATTATTTCGCGCAATTTTATGAGTCGCAAGTTACGAGTTATTAGTATTGATAAATTGCTTGTACAATATAGTAATAAACTTAGTGATAAAATATACAATTTAAATGATTCAACGTAGATGTAAAATTTGATTTATCAAATAGAAGTAAAAATTTAGTAAAATCTTCAGTGAAATTGAATTTAATAACTCTTTTTTCATAGCAACAATAAATTTAATTTAATAAAATTAAGATTTAATATTGAAATATTATCCGACTATTCTACGAATAACTCGTGACTTGTAAATTTACCGATACAGGAGAAATTTCTTCTACTAACTTTCTCGCCTATCTCTATGCTATTGAAATGTACGTGTTGCCAGATTTCCGAGTAGAACCTTCTACAATACTTGGTTATCGTTCCAGCGGCGAAGATCGACGGATCGTTCGTTCTTAATTCCGTATCTATGATTAACTGGCCGTCGAACATCAACCCAGACTTACAGATCGCTGAAATCGATCGAATTTGGTGAATCATAGTCGACGATTATTGTTTCGTTATTGACGTCGAGCATTGGCAGTCACCCAAGAATATCGTCATGTTGATGGTCTTCTCGCGAAAATTTATTAGGGCGTCGCATTCCAGCGTTTTCAGCTTGCCTTTCAAACGGATAACGATCGTTTCAATTATCCTTCCGTCTAGCGATTCTTTTAGGTTCCAATCGGTCAATTCCCATCCCACGAGCATCTTGATGTTACTCCTTGAAATCGACTTCATCACCTCCGCGTACACCTTGAATGCATCGATCAGTGTTTCTTCAGACATGAGTTACGAATTTTTAAAGCGTTCTTTATTAGAGAAGAAATAATACGTGCTGATTTGAGGCTGTCTTTAGGTTCTGAATACAAAATTAAGCTTGAACCGGAAATTGCTGATTTTGAAATTCGCGAAACTTTTATCTGAAATTTCTGTGGCTTGGTGATCTAAGAGAAAATTATTGTGTCTAAGAGATGCTCGTTTTTATTTACGATTCTTAGTAGTTGTTATTCGAATTGTTTGAAGACCCTGTCCTTGAGGAGGTAAAAATTTTTTTTATAATTCTCAATAAAATAAAAAATGTTAGAGCCTTTAGTTAAGACGTGAAAATAATTTAGGATGTAATTGTTTAAAATGTAGAACTTATATCAGAGAAATCTAAAAAATTTCTACGAACAATTACAAATTGATCTGATCAATTCTAGTGTCGAAGAAAGAGAGAGATCAAGCTAGCATATTTTTTTATACTTCGCAATTATTGAAGAAGGCACTGTGATGAGTTTCACATTCTTGCAACGGCGGCTGGATCAGCGTGATCCAAGAGCCTTTTATTCCAAATTCGAGCAGTCCTTGAAGGGCGCAGTAGCAATCAATATTGTGTCCGTAAATAATAATTCTCTCTGGAAATATATATATATATATATATAT